GTGAGCCTAATTTGTTTGAAGAGGGTGTGGGACAGTGGCAGAATCCGGCGTCCTGCCCAGCTCACTAACATCACTGGTTGTCCAGCATCCCCGCTCAGCTGCTGGTAAGCAGTGATGTCTGTGAGCTGGGTGGCACTGCACCGCTAAGAGCTCTTAGCAACCTGGGATGCTGTGGACCCCCCTGCCGCTCCCCTCCCACCATCCGGCTTCCCCCAAAGAGATGCCACCTGAGACAACCGCCACAGGCTACCTCATTATAGGAAAAGCACAGTTTACATAATGCCATTCTTGGTGTCTGGAGGCCTGAACAGGCTGGAAATTCCTTGATTTACACGACTAAAGGTGTGAATTTCTTGTCAGATCATCAACATTACGTAACTGGAGCAAGGTGATTCTACATCTTTCACTCCTTCCATCCTGTTCTTGGACAATCAACATCTACACATCCCATGGTGATTAGATCAAGGTGTCTGTGCTACCAGTGTGGATATAAATACTGAGGTTATTTTCCCTGACACTCATTGGAACTTAGGATGGGGCTTGTAAAAGCTATACAACATCGCTGACTGGCAGAATGCACAGGGGATGGGGCGGGTACAGCTGGCTCTGCGGCGGATCCCGTCATCTACGTCGTGATCCGCTCCGGCTGCGGCGTCTCATATACTGAGCTTAGGGTAATGGGAGGACGCTAGTTTGTGTCCTCCCGTTACCCTAAGGAGAACTATGGGGAAAAACACTGACCCCATAGTTCTCCTTTAAGTCGACCATACGTGGCTCGGGTTTCAGCCTATCCCTGCTGGATTGTCCAAAATTTGAGCTTTGTTGCACCACCCAGCTCAATGGAACTGAAGAAGTGGCTTTGAGCTAGCCAGTAAAGCTTGGGAGCTACATCTTCAACATTACAGAATAAGCTTAGTTGAAAGTAACCAAACACTACTAGCTATACCAGGGATAGGCAACCTCAACACTGCAGCTGTGGTGAAACTGCAAATCCCATTATGCTTCTGCCTATGGGAGTCATCCACTGAGTCTTGCAATGCCGTATAGGACTTGTAGTTCCATGACAGCTGGAGTGCCAAGGTTGTGTACCCTTGAGTTATAGCATGACCTGGATGTCTGTAAGAAACAAATCAAGACGACTGGACTTGCTGTATTTTTCTTGAAGATGCTTGGTTGGTCACACGACTAGCTTTTCCAAAGCCAGCCCAAAGCTAGTCAGAAGACCAGCGAAACGTCTTCAGGAAAAATACATCAAGAGCAGTTGCCTTGATTTTGTTTTTACCATGACCTGGATGAATGAGAACCCATACAGACACAGGACCTGGATGAATGAGAACCCTTACAGACACAGGACCTGGATGAATGAGAAATATAACTCTTTGTGTCAGAAGGAAAAGTCACATCATTCGTTCTCCAACCCCAATCAGTGTTTGGTTGAGTCACCGTGTGGTTATGTTTATTCTCACTCTTCCTTTTGCTGTGTTCATCGGCACCCAACATCAGTGGTAATGCTTTGCTGAAAAGGAAACATTCCCAGCAAGAAAACGAACGAGTGAAGCGTGAAATAGAAAATAATGTGTATGGGTGAAGGGGGGATAGAAATGAGGCAGCCCGGCATTGGTCACATCTCCTATCCGTCCTGCGTAGTGATCCGGCCCAATCCCAGCCAGCACCCGATGAAACCGTGCTAGCGCACAGGTGAGATGGGTGAGTTGCAGGTGAAATCACCTGTGTTCAAGCAGTGATAGCCCAATCTCCTGGCCAGTCAGCTTCCATGAGGCCTTAAAAGTGCTGAATTGGATGCATTGGTGGTGGGGATGTGAGAGAATGATCAGCGACCTATGAACATACACAGACAACATCTACAAGTGGGGCACCGGGCAAAAGCAAACACACGCAGCCAATCAGCAGCAGCCAAGCACAGACTATGCACGTAATTAGAATGTCATTAACAAACCCATCGTCTTCATAGAGGTACTTGACTACACCCCAGGGGAGGACAAACAGCATCGGGAAACCTGAAGAAAGAGGAGAGAAGAGACAATCACTGGAAGAGAGAGAAAAAGGGAGAAGAGAGAGAAGAGACAACCACTGGAAGAAAGAGATAGAAAGGGAGAAGAGAAAGAGAAGGGAAAATTACTGGGAGAGAGAAGAGACAATCACTGGAAGAGAGAGAGAAATGGAGAAGAGACAACCACTGGAAGAGAGAGAGAGAGAAAGGGAGAAGAGAGAGAGAGAAGGCAAAATTACTGGGAGAGAGAGAAGAGACAATGACTGGAAGAGATAGGGAGGGAGACGAAAGAGAGAAAAGACAATCACTGGGAGGGGAGAGAGAGAGAAAAGAGACAATCACTGGAACAGAGAGAAAAGAGAGAAGAGACAATCACTGGAAGAGAGAGAGAAAGGGAGAAGAGACAACCACTGGAAGGGAGAAGAGAGAGAGAAGAGACAATCACTGGAAGAGAGAGGGGAGAGAGAAGAGACAATCGCGAGAGAGAGAGAGAGAGAGAGAGAGAGAGAGAGAGGAGACAATCACTGGAAGAGAGAGAGAGGGAGAAGAGAGAAGAGACAATCACTGGAAGAGCGAGGGGAGAGAGAGAAGAGACAATCACTGGGAGAGAGAGAGAGAGAGAGAGAGAGAGAGAGAAGAGACAATCACTGGAAGAGAGAGAGAAGACACAAGTATGTCACTTACTAAGGAAGGAGAGAGGAGAAATAGAGTAAAAATGACAGTCAGGGAGGCCTAGTTCCTTAAGCTGCAATATCATTTAAAGGAAAACTCCACTTTCATTAAACACATTAATATAGCATATAAAATTGCTACACAATCCATATTGTTATTTAATATTATTAGAAATTACGTTTGCATTTCAACCTGTAGCCACTTTAATAAAAAAAAAAAAAAATGGAATGCAATATGGAAACTTGGAGGCAGCATGTACATCATTGGTGTACAGAATGCCCTCAGAAATGTCATTTTCTGCTTGTGGCTCACGGATTTTCTCAGAAATCTATGCTAGGAAGTAAAATCTTAGGCATTCCCTGTACTAGTAATTTCATCTTCAGTGAGATACTCCCCAAGACTTCAATGTAGAAAAGGTCACTCGGGCTCAGATTCATTTTCAGTCAATGTTTATTGACCTCCCATCGTGCCACACTGTCAAGCGACGCCTTGGAACCATGCAGTTCTGTCCCCAGGCAAACAACAACTTGTCTTCCTGTATACATACATGTAATGTCCTGCTAAGCAAGTTGCACATCTCCCCACCAAGATCTTAGTAAGCTAGGACAGTTTGGCTGGAAGGGGGGTGCCAGGCACACTGCAAACATTGTGCATCAGAGCAGCCATGCCACTCTGCCTGCCGTCCCCACACGAAGAGATGCCGTCTGAGGCAAAGCCTTATTATAGAGATGGTCCTGGGAGAGAGGAATGGTAGAGTGATGTCTTCAAATGAGGAATGGATGGAATGATGGCTGCAAACTCTTATATGTGGTTTACTTTTAAGCCTTTTTCAATAACCGTTAAACTGTTCTTTGACAGAAACATGGTGCCATTAACTAACTTAATTGCTTTCGGTGAAATTTATCGCCTCCAGGACAAGCAGTTTGGGGGCTTATTCATCAGTTTTGAAAGGATTTACTTTAGGAATTAAACCATTCAATACAAATTAAATTAAAAAATTTACATGGAGCACAATGATAGTATCAATAAATTGCTTTATTCCACGGATTGTCTTCATCCATAACTTGCTCAATTATAAAAGGTGACAAATTGAAGACTGATTACAGGCTTTGATTCATTTTAGTGATTTATAAAGTATACGGCGGCTGGATGGATGGACCTAACAAATCTTATTGTCAGTCAAAGCACAAAAACAATTGTATAACCAAGGAATGAAAAATCAGAGAACATTGAGAGCAGGAGAATTGACTGTCCATCGCAAAGTGCCAAGCTATACTTGAGAACTACATGTGTCTTTTGGAGGGATAACTTTCTGATTTGTAAGAATTGGGGATGCGGGGGCAATTTTCCTGATCTTGATTTAGCCACAAAAACAATGGTTTTGCCTTTCTTGCAAAAATGAGCCTCTAATTTTGCCATGTGGAACCAGACGGATGAAGTATCTTACAAAATAGGTCACCTTTAAAGCTAAGGGCATGCTGTGCTCCTGGCTGTGTGACCCCTTTCCTGAGTGATATGGCTTTGTTATTGAACAAAGCCATGTAATCACCATGTCAATGCTGGCATGGGGATCATGTGACTTTGTTGCTAAACAAAAGGGTTTGTTTTATCATTAGGGTTACGGGTAGCTTTAGGGTTACCACCAAGGTTAGTGTTTCTTTGGCATAAGAACAGGTAGATATTCTCAGGGGCGGCCCGAGGCTGGGTGTCACTCGGAGCGGAGACCGGGTGGCACCCCGCAGTGACGTCATTGCGCATGTGCATGATGTCACCACGCACGTGCGCGATTATGTCATCACGCATGCGCGGCCATCTAATTGATGCCTGCCGGCGACCATCTTGGTGATGGACGCTGGCAGATAGAGGAGGGGACGTTCCCCCGGCGGGATGAGGTATGCCGCCAGGTCCCCTCCTCTCTCCTGACACTGTCAGGCTCTCGGGCAATGACCGAGTGCCCAACTTTTTAGAGGAGATGACACCTAAATGACTGTCAGTCATTTTGGTGTCACCCGTCCAATGGTACAGTCCGTGTACCCATCGCACTCAGAGCCGCTGCTCCAAAAATGGAAGGTGGGTGCAGCAGGTGGCTTCCGCAAAATCCTCACTTGTTTGGTTTGCCTGATGAAGGGGATCCTGTGAGACCCCGAAACGTTGTTTAGAGTGTTCTATTTACAACTAGTACGTTAATAAACACGTACTGAACTTGCTACTTGTACTGAAGAGTGCCGGTGTGCATCCTTCACCCAGCCAATGGTGTCACCAGGGTGCGGGCCGCACCCCCCTTGTGATGCCACTGGATATTTTAAAGGAGCTTCTTTAAAACGCATGAGGCATTTATGTTCCTGAGACCATGCCTTCTAATATTATCAAGAAGTTAGACATGTGCACCAGCAAAAAATTTGTTTAGTTTAGTTTCGTTTTGAAAAAAACATAAAAAATTTGTTTAATTTAGTTTCGTTTTTCGGATCCGAAATTAAATTAGTTTCGGACGAAATTCGTTAGCGGTAGTCCTGCCGAAATTCGTTTCTGAAAAAAAACTTTACTCTCCCGTGGCTGGATTTGAACCAACAACCTTCACAATGGCAAGCCTGTCCTCTAACCACTACTCTATTGCCTCTGTACTTTAACCATAGAAGCATTTGATATATATGAATGCAACATGTAGCATTTGACAGCTGAGAATGTCAAATGGGCGGAGCGAGTCGTGATGTCATGGCTCGCTCCGCCCACCTGTTGACTTTCAAACTGGATGTCGTGTCCCTCCTAACATTCCTACCAGACCTAAAGAGTCTGGTATGAATTGGGGGGAAACCTCACGCTTTTTTTTTTCTGCAGTCTGTAAAAAAAAATAAAAATCATTTTGCTGCAACAGAATTCGTCCAATAACGAGTTTCGTTGCAGCAAAATGACATTAGGAAAAAAAAAATGACATTTAGTCATTTAGGTCAATAGGAGAATGCCAATTCAAAAGCAAAGAAAAATAAAAATCTTTATCCATTACTATCCCATGGCTGGACTTGAACCAGTGACCTTGACAATGGCAATCCTGTGCTCTAACCTCTACACTATTGCTTAGGGTTTCAGTGTTGCTTCCGGCCTTCAATATGTGCAGGGCAGTATTGAATGAGAAGATTATCAAGGCATTATGGAGTTAACAGTTGGAAGGCTCTGCTGTCAGGGCTGGATTTCCCACAAGGCCTGGCCTTGGGGCGGCAGGGAGTAGAGGGGCAGCACAGGCACCAGGCTAATAGTTTTTTTCTACATTTAGCCCCTGTGTGATAGCAAAAAAAGTTAAGTGAAAAAAATAACAATAATAAACAAAATTTTAAAAAATTTAAATTGATAAAAAGTAAAAAAAATATTAAAATAAATTTTAAAAAAGTAAAAAAAATATTAAAATACATTTTAAAAAATAA